TTACTTGTCAGAATGGAAACTCGAATTTTCAATGAATTTTTGAGGAGTGTATTAGGAACTAGCACTTAGTATATACAATATGTCTACCTAGGTATATAAACTTGAGAAAGTGTTAGTAAGTAAGAGTAGCTTGCTTTGCATGCTAGATGTTTCTTTTCTGGAATATGGAATGTTTAATAGACATTCTGGGAGTTTTGTAGGTAGTTTGTAAACTGAATGGAAATAACAATGTGTGAATGAATAATCAGTAAGTTTTAGGAGCTCTGTTCTGTCAAATTATTCATCAAAGTTTTGACGATTCTGTCAAAAATTCTGTCTGTTCTTGTTTGTACTTCTACTATTGCAGTTAGTAGCTGTCTTCTGAAAGTACTGGATCCCACCAAGGAAGTCTCAGGATTCAAAGGAACTAAATAGATTTGGTTATTATACTTCCCTTCAGCAGTGACACAGATTACGTTCTCTTCTATCACTTCCCTAATTTGTAAGTTCAAGACTGAAAAACTCAGGGGCGCCTGGGTGGCTCAGTCGATTGAGCATCCGACTTCAGCTCAGGTCATGATCTCACGGTTTGTGGGTTTGAGCCCCGCATCGGGCTCTGTGCTGACAGCTCGGAGCCTGGAGCCTGCTTCAGATTCTGTCTCCCTCTCTGTCTGTCCCTCCCGGGCTCACCCTCTGTCTGTCTACCTCTCTCTCAAAAATAAACATTAAAAAAAATTTTTTTAAAAAAAGATTGAAAAATACAGTTAATTGATCCCTGGGTACACTTTAATTTACTCTTCATTGGCTTATATTCCCTGGATTTTGTCAGTCTGACTGATTCTTATGCAAGTTTCAACTGAGGGTCAACATATTATTGACTGTTAATCTGTTTCTGATGCTTGGGAACTATTCCTTGGTAGTAGTACTTGGCTGTCACCCGTGACCATGACCAAACCTGGCAATGACCTGTGTCTGTTGGACCTTTCTACCAAGACTATGAAGTTAAAGAGCCACAATCATGTTTACAACTGACCCTTCCAGATTATGAATATTGAATTCACAGATGAAAAAAAGACTTAAACAATGGATGATAGAATACAAATCCAAAATTGTCATAGGCAAGAAAAATCATAAAAAATAAAATGCAATGTAATTGAGATATATGTGAAGTTCTGTGTTTTATTTTGGACTTTTTTTCTCCTTTTCTTTTTTTAAATTTACTTTGAGAGAGAGAGTGTGTGTGCAAGTGGGGAGGGGGAGAAAGAGACAGAGACAGAGAGAGAGAGAAAGAGAGAGAGAGAGAGAGAGAGAGAGAGAGAGAGAATCCCAAACAGGCTTCACACTGCCAGTGCAGAGCCCAATGCAGGGCTCAAACACATGAACTGTGAAATCATGACCTGAGCTGAAATCACATTTGGATGCTTAACTGACTGAGCCACCCTGATGCCCCTATTCTGGATTTTTAAATTGCATCAAGCATGCAGTCAAGCATGGTATAGGGCAGGCGTGGTGCGATATTAAAAATTATTCGTTGGTTACTAAACTCAGTTTAATCCAGCATAACTACTAAAAAAAGCCCTATCTGGATAATAATAATAATGGAAGTACACTGTACTACTCAAAGAAGAAGATAGTTTGTGCATCTGAAAAGAGATTTAAAGAGTAGAATATCCTTAGAAGAATGTGCATAACATGCTGCTATGCTTGAAAAGCATATTACTTGATGAAGTAAAACAAACATATAGACAAAAATATTTTTTGACATGGAGGAAAAAAAAAATCTTCCCAGAAACGCCAATAGCAAACTTCACACCTTTTGGAAAACTCTCATATCCAAGATAATATAAGCTTGTTACCTATTGCTAGAAAGCACAACTTAGAAAAACATACAGGTCTTAAGGAAGTATTTGGTAAAATAGCAATCACAGTAGATTCCTACCTCTGATGACTTTCAGGATGAGAATAGATATGGATTTCACACTGGCTGTACAATTATGCTAGACAGCATCTAACATTTTGTCACATCATAAAATTCTACAACATTTTAACGATGCAATAAGATGGAAGTCTTCACTGCCATTTGCCATCAAGGATTCTTTAAGGAGAAGCTATAACTCTTCGAGTGTTAGTTTTAAAGAAAAACTAATGAAGCGCAATATATATCCAGTAACTAGGGGTCAAGCACCTGAAAATTTAAATGTAAGTTCTTTTTTATTAAGTTTATTTACTTTGAGAGAGAGAGAGAGAGAACAGTGGGAAAGGGGCAGAGAGGCAGAATCCCAAGCAGGCTGTGCACTGTCAGTGCAGATCCCGATGTGGGCTCGAAATCACGAACTGTGAGATCATGACCTGAGCCAAAACCAAGAGTTGGCTGCTTAACTGACTGAACCACCGAGGCTCCCCTAAATGTAAGTTCTTACTGGTTTCTCACATAATCTTGTACAGCATTATTATGGTATCCCATTTGACATTGAAATAAACTAAGGCTTATCAAGGCTATGTTACGGGTCCGAAGTCTCCAATTCAGCAAGTTGAACTGCTGAGTCATCTGATTTCAAAGCCCACGCATTCATTAATCGTAACAACTGCTATACCTCTCCCCTTCTGGTTGGATTCTTAACGGTTGGAAGCATAAGATAATTCTTGCCTCCTACAGGTCTGCTCCGATCTTATAAAACTGACTTCCCCAGATGCAACAAAAATGTGACCACATAATTTTAGTGAAGTAACAAAATTAAATTCAGAGGGAGGTTTGGCTGGACTCTTCCACTTTGGAAATAATATTCCTGGAACTAAAGTTTGGCGTGGCACCCTAGGGATGCAGTGAAGCTATTGTTCTAATTTAAGTTATTACGTTTATGAGCCTCAATTTTAGCTTGCTTATTGGAGTCTGTTACATGGGCTACAGAGGCAAGCCCCTAATGCATAATTGTTTTCAATTTGTTACGAGAAATTATTTTGGCGATTTCAACATGGGTACATCTCTACACCCTAGGTCAATCATTATGCCTGCTTTGGGCTGGGTACCTGGTGACATATTTGCATCTTGAAGACACAAGGGGGCACAGGACAGGGCTGTAAATCTCTAGTGCTTTCTGCCAGCTCTCTTCCTCGAACTTCAGGTATAATTTGCACTCAAATTTCTCACTTGGCCCTCCACTTTCATTTCTATTTATACCTCTGTTTACAAGTAAACTCAAAAGTATACTGAGGTACAGATGCTTGGTGATTAAGGGTACGGAATCTGCGGCCAGACGCCCTGGGCTCAAAGCCTGACTTAATGCTTTTAATCCCTCTGAGTGTTGGTCATCTCATCTGCAGAAGAGGGATCATAATACCTCCCTCAAAGAGTAAATAAATTAGCACATGATAGGGAGGTCCTTGCACTTGGTAATAACCAAATAAATATATGTATTATCTTTATTTGATTATTATTATTCAAAGTGAGGTAAGATTACATATGCCAGACCATGTGTTTTGTGTTCCTTGAAATGTCAATGTTTAAAATTTTCTTTGTTTCTTTCCTTCTCACTCCCTTCCCTATAATCCTTTGTTCCTTCCTTCCTCCTTTTCTTTTCTTTCTCCCTTTTCTCCTTTCTTCCTTTTTTCCACTTTTCTTCCTTCTCACCTTCCCACCTTCCCTTTCTCCCTCTTCATCCCTCTCTCTCTTCCTATTTTCCTTCCTTCCTTCCTTCCTTCCTTATTTTTATTTTTTCTTTACCAAATATTGACTTTGGGAGGGGTGCCTGAGTGGCTCAGTCGATTAAGTGTCTGACTCTTGGCTTCGGCTCAGGTCATGATCTCATAGTTCATAGGTTCGGGCCCCCCATAGGGCTTTGCACTGACAGTGCTGAGCCAGCTTGGGATTCTCTTTTCCCACCTCTCTCTGCCCTTCACTTACTTGCACTCTCTCTCTTCTCAAAACTAAATACATAAGCCAAAAAATTTTGAGTTTAGAGTGACTCCACCGGTGAGGCGAGCCCACACAAAATATCTCTATAATTTCCAACCTAGCAGTCCAGCTGTTAACACTGCCACTCTTGGATTTTGTGAGATATCAGAGGATTTCTAGGGGAAATAGAGAATGCTTTCCTATTTACCACATGCAGAAGCATGAGGCCCACCTCAATAGACTGATATGAGCTATTCCCAATTGTTAAGCCACAGCAACATCCATCTATTAAGAAGGCAACTATATTGGGATCAGGGGAGTGCCAGGATAAAACATGATCTGCTCATCAACATCTGTTTTCTAATTAGGATGGCTCAATGGCAATTTTCACCCGATAATTTAGTTAAATTTCATTCCTAAAGTATAAATATCCTCTGAAGGCACATGGGTGAAGTTAAATCAATAACTGCATTATTGTAAATTACTTCATAATTATATATTGATAAACAGAATAAGGTTATATGATATCCATTTTCCATATCACTTCATACCTCAGACAACTTCATAGAAAATTGCATTCTTATGTTGTTTTCAAACAGTGCTGTTTTGTATAAAATGCCTTTCATCATTTTAAAGCAATATAATTTCAGCATAGCCCTCCTTGTCTTGTTTAGATTTTTAAACCATGTAAACTCAAGGTATCTGAGTTATAGTTTGCCTCTTTAAATGTTCTCAGATAATCTTACGTGAAAAATATTTTTAAGGACTTGCAAGAAAAACAAAAACAAAAACATTACCTTTTGCTGGCTTTAGGCCTGGCTACAGAGTACTGGGAGACTGTAAGATGTTAAGATATTTCAAGTCAACCTGCCTCCCGTTTATCCCATAAACCTGACTGACCATCGGCTTAGAATGTTCTTTTTATCTACTGGTCCCCCTTCTATCTTGAGTCTCTTCCTCCCACGTGCTATTTGTCATATACTTATTTCTGCTGACTGCGTGCCCTAAACGTTCGCAATCATCTGATTAAAAATATTCTGTCCTGCATAGGGTGGGCACTGAGCAGCTGTGCTGAGTGGCTGAGAGGCTCTTGGGGTCTGGTGGGCTGAACAGACTCTAAACCAAGCAGATGACTTCGAGATGCACGGGAGTGGGGTCCTCCGTGCTCCAGAGATCACTCCAAGACCAGGAACAGCTGGAAGAGAATGCAGTTCCACAGCCTTCCGCCAGCCACCTGGAGACCTCCAGGGCAGACAGTTCCAGAGAAGGCTGCCCCTTGAGATCACTCAGCCTCAACCGCCAGGCAGGACCTCCTGGAAAGGCCTGGAAACCCCAGAGCCAGGGCAGTAGGGTCTCCAGGCTATATGGTTCACTCAGCCAAAAACACCTTGGGTGCCATGTCCCCGAGAATCCAGGAGTCCTGCCAAAGTGGCACCAAGAGGCTGGTGAAAACCCAGGCAAAAGTCAGGACGAGGAGAAGAGGCGCACGGACGAGCAGGAGCCCCCCCACCCCCCGCCTCAGCTCACAGCCTGAGTGGCACTTGCACCTGGCTGTCTGGAGCTGCCCCTGCCCCTCAACCCTGGACCTGTGGGAGAGGAGAGGGAGTGTCTCCTCTCTGCCCACATGGGCCCACATGACTACCCACTGCGATGGTCCAGGAGGGAGACTTTCCGGAGCCCCTCCTCCTCGCAGAGCCCCTCTTCTCCCTCAGTGAATCTGACAGTGACCTGGAGCCTCTGGGAGCTGGAATTCAGCCTCTCCGGACACTGTCACAAGAGCTAGCCGAGGCCACTGTGACCGAAGAGAGTGGCATTTGCGACTGAGGACTGTGCCTTCAGGCAATGCTCTCCTCCCAAGCATCTTTTGGGGGTCCTTCTCCACCCTCCTCCTCCTCATGTATGAACATTCGAGAATGGAGTCCTTTTCTGGAAAAACCCACAGAGCCCATGGGCCCAGCAGAGTAGGGAGTGTACAAGTCTTTCCTGCCTGGAGCTGGAACTTCTGACTTCACTGATTCTGTCATTAATCGAGCATACCGGGGAGCCATCTCCCACCTCCTCATTTTGGGGTGGTGGTGTCCCCACGTCCCTTGCTTTGAGCACAGTCAGGGCCAGGAAGGAAGCTCTATATTGCAGGAAGCAAGCCACATTTGACCACCGTGTCATCACCTCAGGATCGGTGCATCCCAGCAAGTTCCTGAGGAAGCCCCTGGGAGTTGGCTGTGCCCTTGACCACTGCTAACAAGGGCCCAGGTGGAGACTGCTCAGGGGCCCTGCTCTCCTGCTGCAGGCACATCTGGTCCTGCGGTGACCGCCTGATGCAGCCTGAGAGTAATTTGGGGAGGGAAATGAGGGCAATGGTCCACTCTCCTCCCCTCTTGGGCTTCAAAATTCATCCAACACTTTAGCTTTCTGGCTGCCTCCTTTGCTACATGAAACAAAGGCATGAGAAGATACTGGGGAGCTCTGAGCTTTGCACCCAGGAGTGGGGTCTTCGAGGAATCATTCCCTGTGTCGCCAGTGCCCAGGCTCTAGAGAGCCCAGCTCCTGTCCCTGCTTCTGCCACCAGAGCCCTGCAAAGAAGAGATGGGAGATATTTCCAGGCCCTAAGACTCTAGGCTCACAGGTACCTGATTACATTCAGGGCCAGGCACTGTGGATGTGTAAGGAGGGGAAGCACTGTTCGGTAGCGATTTCTGCCTTTGGTAAATTATTTAAGAAATTTGTTTTATCGTTTTATTAAAAAGAAACCAGCATGTGACTTCCTTAGGTAATGCTGCTTTTTCATAATAAAAACTCACCTTCTATAAGAAAATAAAATGAAATAAATTGAAATAAAATAAAGTAAAATGAAATGAAATAATAAAATAAAATAAAATAAAATAAAATAAAATAAAATAATTCTGTCTTATTTTTAGTAAACGTGACACAATTTTTGGTTGAGAAAACATGGCCACTGTATGTATACCTATAATTAATGTGTCACTTGTCTCTTAACTAGAGCTTAAGTTCATGGGTCGGGTATATGTCCTTGGTATGACACTGTTCTGTATTGACTTTGTTCCTCTCTGCAGAAAGACACTGGGAGGGTATGTAAGGAAAGAGAAAAGAGTAAGGAAAGAGGATCACACTTGCCCTTGAGTCTATTTTCATCAGTTGCTAGATTTTTTTTTCCCCTAGCCAAGTCATTTAACCTTTTCCTATATGACATAGAGATAATACTCCTTCCTATCACCGAAGCATTTAATTTTTTTTAATGTTTATTTATTTTTGATAGAAAGAGAGAGAGAGAGAAAGAGACAGAACATGAGTGGGGGAGGGGCAGAGAGAGAGGGAGACACAGAATCTGAAGGAGGCTCCAGGCTCTGAGCTGTCAGCACAGAGCCTGATGCAGGGCTCAAACTCACGCACTGTGAGATCATGACCTGAGCCACCCAGACGCCCCTCACCAAAGCATTTAAGTGAGATTATGTGCTTAGGACTATCCTTGGTTTTTAACACTTAGTGGGTACTCAGTATATGGTAGGGATATTGTTATTGTGGATAACAATATCATTATAAATTCATTATGTAAATGAAACTCTTTCTGTTCACCATCATCCTGTTTATCTCACTAGGTCTCCTCTTAAAATATTAGTCATCATTTCTGTGAGATGGATTTTTGTTTAGTGGTATTTTGTGTGATCCTAAAACAGTATTTCTCAACCATGTGTGACCATCCATTAGATCCATTCCCAAACTCACGAAGCCAGATATTTCAGGGATGGCTATGTTTATAAACCCCACACAGAAATTGTGAAGTGGAATCTGGTTAAGAACCACCAAGCCAAACATCTGAATAGGGTTTAAAAGTTATGTCCAAAGAAATCTTACTTTCCTTCATGGTAATTTGCAGGGATCTGCAAGAAAAGTTTCAGTGTCAGTTTTTGGAATTGGAAACCTGCATATCAGATGTCCCAGGTAGGACCATTTCCAAGCAGAGAGTAAATAGATAGGGTTGTACAGAGTATGGACCCTCCACACATGTCAGTTCTATGCAAGAGACATCTAGGGACAATGAACAGCAGAAGCACCTTTTAAGTGTGTATCCTTGTGGTTATAGAAGTGGGAATTTTTCTTTGATAGGCAGGCCTAGCAAAGCTCACATGCCCACTGCTAATTGTCTGTCTGTCTTGGGTCCTACTTTTTCCCTCTCTTTGAGCCACCATCTGGAAAAACTACTCCTTTATCCTAGCCCTCATGGTCTCCAAGATGGTTCCCTCGTTTAGCACCACGGGATCACCCAAGGCTTCCTCCTGAGTTTGCTTCATTAGTACATTGTGAACTATTGGGTCAACAGCTTGTTCTTCTCACCCTAGTACCCAATTAAGGAGAAGTGGAAGAGTGGGAAGTAAGGGTGATGATGATGTTTGGACTTTATCCGCCATTGATTTATAATTGGCTCTAGAACCACACATGGGATCATAGTTTCTGTGCATTTGGCCCATTATATTTTCCATCTTCCCTTATAAAGTGCTCTTCAGGCAATACACGGATGTGTTTTCTGAAATCCAAGCTGATATTCTGAATGATTTTTGGACATGATGCCTCAAGCTATACCCAAGAAAAGAGAAAAGTTGTGCCTTATAAGCAATTGCCCACTAAAATCGGGAAGAGGTAAGAGATGAACTTAGGGAATAAAGAAGATGAACTTAACCAGTAGCCTTTGTTTACCTCTACTATAAATAACAAATCTTGCTACTTTGAATAGTTTCATTTGCACGATTAGCTTAATACTTCAATTACCTGAATCTTTTAAGAAATAATCAAGCTCTTGAAGATTTTGCATTAATTTCTCTGGATGCCTCATAAATGCAAGAGCATTTGCATTTGAGAAGCATAAAAGATGCAAATCACATCTCTATCTCTATTTAACAACCAAAACGCTTGTTTATGATCATAACTCTTTTCAATATCTTCCTAACTGTAATACACCATTAAGAATGTTGCAGAACATTTACAATGTATTCTAGAAAGGAAATCTGACATCAGTGCATTAATGCCTTCTGTATTCTGTGGGTAGAAATGCAAAATACGTTACTATGAAAAATGAGGATATGTTTCAAAATTCAGGATTAATTAAACAATTTATTCATTCATTTTTTTTACTCACATGTATTTAACAAATTTATTGGCACTCTTCCTGTGAACAAGGTGCTGTTCTGTCTGAAATGTTATCAAGCTTACATTTTAGTGAGGAAAGTGGTCAAAATAAGTAAACGAAAAAGAAAAAAAAAATATCAGGCCTAATTAATCCTGCAATAAGCCTTTATTTTTAACCCAAAATTTACCATGTGCAAGTGTAAAAAGGAGTCATAAAAATATGTTTTTAAAGCTAGTTTTTTAAGCATTGTCTCCATGTTAAAATTGTTCATCTTTTCAGTTTTTATGAAAAAAGTCACTTAGCCTTGTTGTATTAAAAGGTGGGGGCAGGAAAGTTGTGAGAAATAAAAAATGTTGGGATAATTGGTATTAAGAAACCTTTGGCAGAAGGAGCTCCTTTAATTGTTTCCTGACATCGGGGTCATCCGCGGCAGGAATCCAACACCTTTTCTCTTGTTCGCTGACTGCTCCCCTTACCCATTTCATCACATGCACTACCTCGGGTCACCCAAGTGGTTACCATTTTCTTTTGTTCCCGTTTTCTACGAGGGCACTCCTTTGTCCCTGGTGACTCAAGAGAAGTCAATTAATTTTGACAACCACTGTCCACACAAAAGCAGAGATGATGGAAATGTTCAATGCTTGGAAATACCTAGATTCCAAGTGTTGGGATTTCTAGGTGCTTTGGCCAGTTAAAATATATCTCATGTATTTATTGGTTTTTTTTTTAAGTGAGAAAAATCAGTCATATAAATGAGTGCCAAACCAATTCGCAGAATGAAATTGCTTTGTTATGGTCAACCCTTAATCAATGAAACTAGTATTCTATACTTGCTTATCATATCAATGAGGTTTGGGGGCCATTTTAGGGCTAAGTGTTCATCTATTTCAGCAAAAATTCTCTTCCTGTTAATTTGAGCCAAGTGTCCCATTCGCAGGATTACCAGTTTTTAAATCCCTACAACTGATTTAAACGCTATACAGACACCTATGTATTTAAGACGCAAAATCTATTGTTGGAACTTGTAGCAGCTACTTGCATAAAGCAAATAGAATTTTTAAATGAACAACCTAATATTTAGACACAGAGGTATCTTTAAAAGTAGTACAAGCAATACGCCCAACTCTATACAGTCTATATTTTGAAGACCGCCTGTGGTAATTTGTGGTTGTTGTCTACAGTCAACAAGCAGTGTTGAAAGATGGGAATTGAACACCATGCAGTACTTGTCCACGTCCTGTAATACTGTGATTACCTGATATCACCTTATATAGATTTGGTTTTTCCCTAGTACTGAAGGTGTTAACAGAACATAATAGAACATCAGCAGACTCCGTGATGCAAGCCAGGCATAATCAAGCAAGGTCAGACCCAGGGGCCAGCAAGCCAGGTAACAGAAGCCAACAGCCTAAGGTGAAGAAATTAAAGACACAGATTATTCTTTAGACAAGAAAGGTGCCCTCTAATGTTCCCTTCTCAATATATGAAGGGTATGAAATAAATGGCTCTTAGATTCTTCTTCTACCACCCCCTTCGTGCTTTTGTGTATATGTGTGTTCATTCAGTGCTTCTCCCAATGGACAGTGACCTCCTTGAGGAAAAAAAAAAGACACAACGGTAATGAAATGAGTTAATTGTAACAAATAAAAAATTACTATCTTTAATGAAGTTGCTTTTTCACAAGGATAGGCACTGGTATAAGCTTTTCCATGCTGTTGTGCTATGTGGTCAGGAAAATCTAATATATTTCCCTACGTGTGGGCTTACTTCACGGACATTCCACCATAAACAAAGAGCGCTACACTATTATGTATTTGTGCAGCTACCAACGTAGACTATGAAGTTTCTCTTGATTTTTTGGTGGTGCCCCTGGTGGTACTCATGAAATTCTGTAAATTTACAAGCATTACCTATAGAAAATTCAAATACTGGGCAAGTGTATTGGAAGAGAACAAGGATGTTTGACAATTACTAGTATATGAACACTGTCATCTTATTTTCTGCAAATAGAAAAGTAGATGCCTAAGATGTGACTCAATAATAGTTTTAAGTTCCCTAGAATATTTTGCCTGGTACCCTACCTGCTGCCTCCACACACATGCATCTCTCTACCACACACTTCTAGCTAGGCTGTGTAGCCATCTTCTACATTTTTCTACACAGCAGACTGTGTGGGTCTTCATCAAACCATCTACAACACAGTATGATTATCTGTTCATCTGTATGTCTCCCAAATGAGCATAAACCCTCAAGTGAAAAGACCAGAGCTTATTCGTGTTTGAATCTTTTGTTTTTATCGCAATGCTTGGCTTACCGTAAGCCCTTAAGTGATGTGTGTTGCACTGAATTGAAGTGACTTTCGGGGCACCTGAGTGGCTCAGTCGGTTAAGCGTTCGACTTCAGCCCAGGTCATGATCTCACAGTCCTTGACTTTGAACCGCGCGTCGGGCTCTGTGCTGACGGCTCAGAGCTTGGAGCCTGCTTCGGATTCTGTGTCTCCCTCTCTCTCTGCCCCTCTCCCGTTCAGGCTCTGTCTCTCTCTCCTTCAAAAATACACGTTAAAAAAAATGACTTTCACTTGGGTTTAACAGTAGAATACTTATTGCTTATACAACTTACTCAGGAGAGAAGCTTCTGGTCTCATTTTCATTTGCATCCTGGCCATGATCTGGGCTATTGTTAATCATTATGGAATAGCAAACTGGGCTATGGTGAACCAAACTACCTATACCTGAGATATCCTTATTAGCAAAGAGTCCAGGCCATCAGACCAGTAAATTGAAGCCTATGGTTATCATGGAAATGTGCTTATGACTTTAACGTCAATTCATTTTGCGAAATATTTCTTTTTGCTTGAAAAATATTTATAACGGTTACAAAAATAACAACTAGTATTTGCAATATTCCAAACACCTAGATAATTAATTTTTTATTTCAGTTAATAATCTGAAAAACATTATTAGATAAAGCCCTTTATTATATATATTTGTCCATTTTTAAGGTATTTTGGCTTACATTTACAATTTAAAATTAGCCGGTGCATATGTAAGTGAAGAATCACTGAATTCTACTCCTGAAATCAATATTGCAATATATGTTAACTAAATTTTTGTTGTGTTGTTAACGTTTATTCACTTTTTGAGAGACAGAGACAGAGTGTGAGCAGGGCAGGGGGCGGAGAAAGAGGCAGACACAGAATTGGAAGCAGGCTCCAGGCTCTGAGCTGTCAGCACAGGGCCCGACGCAGGGCTCGAACTCACGAGCTGTGAGATCATGACCTGAGCTGATGTCAGATGCTTAACTAACTGAGCCACCCAGGCGCCCCATTATATGTTAACTAACTAGAATCTAAATAAAAGTTCAAAGAGAAAAAATAATAAATAAATGACAGAAATGAGAAAATTGTCTGCATCATTCAAGCCAAACTTCTTTTTTAAATGTTGATTTCTTTTTGGGAGATAGATAGAGAGAGAGCGAGAGAGAGAGAGAGAGAGAGAGTATGAGCAAAGGAAGGACAGAGAGAGAGGGAGACACAAAATCCAAAGCAGGCTCCAGGCTGTCAGCACAGAGCCAGACGAGGGGCTCAACCCCACGAACCGGGAGATGATGACCTGAGCCGGAGTCAAACTCTTAACCCACTGAGCCACCCAGGCACCCCAAGTCAAACTTCTTTTTAACACCAGATATCTCTACCAAGGTTTTGTTGTTGTTGTTAATGCATTCTTATATTCTCATTGCTGGTACCTCATGAATACTCAGAAATAACTAGGGTTTATTAAGAGCTTACAGTAAGCTAAAATATGCTGCTACAATATGTCGCTACAATGTGCTACCTTACATTAAACCTCTCAACGTTAAATCTTACTCAGAAATACTCATAATTGTCCTCTGAGTAAGAGAGTTTATTCTGAGTCTTAAGAGGATTAAAGTAACTCACTGAAGGTTCAGTTAAGAACGTGAGCTATCTTTTTTAATCATTGTTATCCATAAATATTTGTTGAGTAAATGATCAAATGCATTTTGATCAAGCATATGTTTGATTAATGATTATGAATGGTTAATAATACATTAATGTTTTTCTTATTCCGTAGGTATTTTTTGATCATTTGAGAAACTATAAGAAAAAGTCACAGAAAGGAAAGTCAGAAAGAGATAGAGAGAGTACAGACA